TTGCTTGGGTTCTGTGTTTCAAAGCAGCACTCCATTCTCTTCTTGACCTTGCCAACAATTCCTCTCTTTTTGCATTTATTTAGAAATTGCACATCACCATTTAACAAATAAATTCTAAGAAAACAAAAGTGCAGAAAGTTCGGTGCATATATGCATGGTGGTGGGGGTGGTCCGGCGTGGGCTGGTGACAGGGCAATTGTGTGTGTGTGTGTGTGTGTGTGTGTGTGTGTGTGTGTGTGCGCATACACGTTTTATTAATTCACAATGTCAACTAGACAGATATTCGTCATAGGAGAAGATACTGCCTCAATCCTAGAAAGCTACATGAAAGGAATATGTGCTCTGTAGACACTGGAATTTCCACCAACCTCTGTATACTATGCTATCTTCCAGTTGTGTATCAAAGAATGAGATTCCACAAACGTCCAAATGGAAAGTGAGTGGAGTCCAGAGAAAGCCATACTGTGTCTCTGGCAATCAGTAGATCTGAGCAGATTGCCCTTCTTGCACGGTAAGTTCTGCATTACTGCAGATGAGAGGAAATAGAATGTCATTCAGAAGTCTAGAGCAAGGTCCTATTTCTGAAAGTGATGTACTCCAAGAATCAGAAGATAATTCTTAAAAACTGTTTTGCATCGTTGTTAGGACATAAGAAGACATGGCTTTTGTGAAGTAGGAGTGAAAAATTATGAAGAAAGAGCAGGTAGCAATGGCAGGAGAGCAGAATGAAATAAAGAACTAGTGTAAGGAGTGCAAGCACACATGGGGCTGTGATGAAGATAAGACCAGCCGTGGTCACAGAACACCTAAAAGTTACTAACGCTGCCAAGAAAACCGCAAAGGTGGCTGGGTCCTGTAATCCCAGCCCTTTGGGAGGCCGAAGCAGGCAGATCACAAGGCCGGGAGTTCGAGACCATCCTGGCCAATGTGGTAAAACCCTGTCTCTACTAAAAATACAAAAATTAGCCAGTCATGGTGGTGAATGCCTGTAATCCCAGCCACTCAGGAGGCTGAGGGAGGAGAATCATTTGAACCTCGGAGGCGAAGGTTGCAGTGAGCCAACATCATGCCATTGCACTCTAGCCTGGGTGACAGAGCAAGACTTCATATCAAAAAGAAAAGAAAAAAAAAAAAAAAGAGTAAAGGCAATTGGAACAGATACAAACCAAAGACGTCATCTTTCATCATTTCAGTGCTCAGGTTACCGGGTTCCCATATCCATGAAACTTTGCCTGAACACTGTTCAGTAACGAGTGAGAGCCTACTGTGTAAGACTCTGTGTTGTGGACCAAGATAAAGTGGTGATCTCTCTCCTGTGGTCCTTCCACACCCAGTCCCCAACTCTACCATGGCACCTACAACATTCTGCTGTTTGTAACCATTATCATATCTGCCCTGCAACAGAAATGTGGGGTCCTAGAGGACAGGATGGTAATTTGCCCATCTCTATATTCTTAGAATCTAATACATAAAAAGTTTCTTGAATGAATAGTGAAGTGCATCACCAGATTGACCAACAGCTAGTTCTCCTGCGATTTCTTTGACAACAACAGTTTACGATCAATTCTTCTAGGACCATCTGGTGCTGATTCTCTGACCACACCTCTTCAGGCTTCATCAGAGTACAGAGTCCACTGCTCTTGCAGATGTGTGAATATGCGGTATTTCCTTTTCACATTTCTATTTCCTTATGGATACTTATTCAAAAACAATTTATAATAACTTTTTTCCTAATTTTAAAAGCAATGCAAGCCCGTTTGTACAAAGAAAAGCATAAAGCAAACTCACACTTATAAGAGGTATTTGCTGAGGTCCACTCAGTCCTTCAGAGCAGGGCTGTTTTCATCACAGCCAGGCCCATCTAGAGCACTTGGAACACCTCAGCATACAGTAGGTGCTCAATAATGAGTATTGGTCAGATGAATATTCCTGAGCAGGTACCTGGTCTCCATAGCCTCAGCTGCTTGCTGGGTGAGGGAAGGAGCTTCCCTGGTACCTCCAAGACCCCTGAGCTCCTGGGCATGCCCTGGTGGCTGCCACTGCCCTGGGAATTAGTGCCATCTCTGCCTCCCAGTGCTGTGGGACCCTCTGGGCCCTGTGGGACCAGGCATTTCTTCCACATTTGGGGTCTCAGGCTCTGGGGCTTGTTGGGGCCACAAACTGTTTCTGAGCTTAAGATGCCTAGTTTTCTGGCATTCTCCATGCAGTGAGGCTGCACCATGCTCCCTTCGGGACTGGACAGGAAATTGCCCCCTCCATTTTTTAAGAAGAGTGTACAGCTGGTATGGTCTGACCTACTAAAGACCTGGTATTCGTGGAAGCGCTTTACATCTTTAATATTTTGGTGCTTGCTTTAACTGTTCCCCCATTGACCATTTAACTGTGGCTTAGCCTGAAGAATTCATTCCTCTCCACCTTTACAATGCAAAAGAGAAAAGTTGAGGAAGGAGCCTGACATGGTTTAGATGTTTGTCCCCTCCAAATCTCACGTTGGAATGTGAGCTCCAGCGTTGGAGGTGGGCCTAGCTGGCGTTAGTGTTAGTGTTAGGGTCGTGGGGACATAACCCTTAAGAATGTCTTAGTGCTGTGCTAGCAATGATGAGTGAGCACTCCCACTGAGTTTACACGAGATCTGGCTGTTTAAGAAGAGCCTGGCACCTCCTCCCTCTCTTGCTTTCAGTCTTTTCATGTAATACGCTGGCTTCCCTTCACCTTCTGCTATGATTGGAAACTTCCTGAGGCCTCACCAGAAGCAGTGCTGGGCCTATGCTTACTGCGGAATCACAAGCCGAATAAACTGCCTTTCTTTGTAAATTACCGAGTCTCAGGCACTCTTTTAAAGCACCTGGGTGCACCCCCAGGGGTGGGGCTGAGGGGAATCAAGTCTGAGTAGAAAAGAGCTTCTGTGTGGGTGGCTCCCTCTTCCAGACGCAGGGAGGAACAGGGAGATGGCCGAGGCCAAGATTGCATCCTGTGACTTAAAGAGAGGACAAAAGCGGTCAGAGCCTGTACATCTTCCAGAAGCCCTCACCCACCGCAGGGAGAGGCTCTCAGGATGTGCCGTAGCTGTCTCCAGGCCTCCCAGCCCAGCCCTCAGGTAGTACAGCTCCCCTTTAACTGGCTCGGCAGAGTGGGAATTTGTATGACATTTCATATTCTTTTCAGAGGTTGAAAGCCCCTTATTATCTAGGAAAGCCAACAGTTACCCAGAAAGGACCTCTTCAGGAGGCAGCATCTGGAGGTGGTCTTTTCCCCTTCAGCTTTGCAAGTCCCAGAACTCCCCTGTGTCAGGACACCCAGAATAGATCAGTTCTGAGCTACCGGCTTAACCAGATCCATAGGGAATAATGCGTTGCTCAGGGCACCAGTACATCTGATTGCAACTGAGAATGCCCCTTCCAGGGACCTGAACACTAGTGACCAGCATTGGGAGCCACCTGGCTAATTCTTCCTAGTATCAAAGTAGCCAGGGCGCAGTGGCTCACGCCTGTAAGGCGTCAGCACTTTGGGAGGCCAAGATGGGCGGATCACTTGAGGTCAGGAGTTTGAGACCAGCCTGGCCAACATGGTGAAACCCCAGCTCTACTAAAAATACAAAAATTAGCTGGGTGTGGTGGCATGCACCTGTAGTCCCAGCTACTCAGGAGGGTAAGGCAGGAGAATGGCTTGAACCCAGGAGGTGAAAGTTGCAGTGAACAGAGATTGTGCCACTGCACTCCAGCCTGGCAACAGAGCAAGACTCCGTCTCAAAAACAAACAAAAAAAAAGGCAACAAAGGTGAATTTAGTCAGTGGCCTTTTATCCAGGTCACAGTGGACCTGAGGATTTGTGTCTTTCTCAACAACAAACTCCTCTCTCCTGCCTGGAAAGCTGCAGCTACTGAATCCAGGTCTCTCTTCCCCTCCTGGATGGCATTGAATGGAATCTCCCTGGAGCAGACAATGTTCTTGCCACCCCCTGGCCAGTTCTCACTTCTTGCTTCCCCGAAGAACCCTCCCTGTTCTGGCACTCATCCTCCTCAGCCTAGGGATAGGCTTCAGGGAGGCGAGTCCCATCCGAGGCCCCAGGAGATGAGTCTTCACTGGCCCAAACAGTGACTCTCCTCCCTGTTGGATCCAATACCCTCTTTTTATAACAAATATTTTTATCTTTTTTGCCTCAAACTCTTAGGCTCAAATGATCCTCCCACCTCAGCCTTCTGAGTAATGGGACTATAGGCGAACACCACCAGGCTCAGCTAATTTTTAAAAAATCTTTTGTAAGGATGGGGTTTTGCTATGTTGTCCAGGCTAGTCTTTAAATCCTGGGCTCAAGCAATCTTACCACCTCAGCCTCCCAAATTGTTGGGATTATAGGCATGAGCCACTGCACCCAGCCCTACAAATATTTTATGATGTCCCTTTTACTACACTGAAATGAAATTTGTATACAACATAAACTATCTGTATGCATAATTTTTAAAATTAAATAACTGTTATTAAGTAGCATTAAAAGAGAAATAGTGTACAGTAAAACAGCACGTATACCATGGAATACTATGCAGCCATAAAAAAGGATGAGTTCATGTCCTTTGTAGGGACATGGATGAAGCTGGAAACCAGCATTCTCAGCAAACTGACACAAGAACAGAAAACCAAACACTGCATGTTCTCACTCATAAGTGGGAGTTGAACAATGAGAACACATGGACACAGGGAGGGGAACATCACACAAGGGGGCCTGTCGGGGAATGGGGGGATTGAGGAGGGATAGGATTAGGAGAAATATCTAACGTAGATGACTGGGTGATGGATGCAGCAAACCACCATGGCATATGTATACCTATGTAACAAACCTGCACGTTCTACACATGTACCCCAGAACTTAAAGTATAATTTTTAAAAAAAGCAGATAAAAGCAAGAAAACAAACAAACAAAAAAACACATGTATTTCAACATGCAAATTCTCAGCAGGACTGCGCTAAAAGACGTAACAATACTGCAGGTGCTAGGATCCATACCTGGAATCGCAGTAAATGTGGCAGCCACCAGGGCAGGCTCATCTGGGTGTTTAGTACCGGAAACTCAAAGTCCATGAGTGGTGTTGACATTGCTAACGCGATTTCCCAAAACAGTGAACAACTCCTGGAAAAATTCTAAACAAAACAAAGCGAGGTCTTCTCTTGATGTGCACAGCAATTGCTTTCCTGGAAAATACAGTGTGTTTTTAAAATGCTTTGGGTTTATATATGAGTTTGGTCTTGGCTCCTATAATTTTGAAGATTTTTCACTTGTGCAAATGTTCAGTGGGATGTTCAAAAATCATGCAGGTCACAGAGTGTGACCATCCTACACAGTACAGGTTGTCTGCCATCTCTAGTCTCTGCCCACTACATGGTCATAGCCCTATCCGAATTATTGTGCCAGCCAAAAATGACACCCTCCATATTTCCCCAATGCCCCATGGACCCAAGTGAATCCTGGTGCTCCCATTCCCCCTTTCCTGTGATGAAACACAAGGGGAATTCCACCGGAGGCCTTTTGCAGAAGGTGTTTCTATAACACCTGGTAAGAAGAGACACAGGTGAATAAACAGCACCTTTCTCTGCCTGTGGTTATTCTATGGGAATGTGATGTCTGTGGCCCCCTTGCTGGTGGAATGATTCAGCCTGAGGAAGAGGCCAGCACATTGAGCCGGGCAGAGCAGAAAGGGGGAAGGAAGCTGGAGACCTGAGGCCTTCAAATGAGCCACTGCAACAGCCAGACCCGGAACTGCCCCATCTCCAGATAGTAAATATGTGCGCAAGTTGGTAGAGTTGGAACTTTCTGTTCTTACAGCCGAAAGCTTCTTCCTTATAAAAAGCGTTCATGGCTGGGTGCGTTGGCTCATGCCTATAATCCCAGCACTTTGGGAGGCCAAGACAAGAGGATCATTTGAGGCCAGGAATTTGAGACCAGCCTGGGCAATGCAGTGAGACCCTATCTTTATAAAAGAGAAAAAAAATTAAATTTTTTTAAAAAGCACTTATATTATGGCTGTTTGAAGACTTCACTTTGGGGTTTAATGCAGAGAATCTACCTCCTTACGTAGTTTTACCCTGAGACAGTGAGGTGATCTGGTTAAGGACAATTTCTGGCTCACATTCCAGGTCAGCATTCATAGGCTGTGTACATTTTAGCACGTCACTTAATCTTTTGATGTCTCATTTCCTCACCTGTAAAATGGGGACAGTAATGGCTTTCAAATTCTAGGGACCCAGTACAGATTAAGCAAGTTAATATAAGTAAGCACTCCAAACAGTGCCTTCATACGAGGCCGAATCAGTGTTAGCTGTGATTACAGAGCATTTTTAGTTTCTTAGTTAGACTTATTTTGGCTGCAAATAACAGAAATTCAACTTCAACTAAATTAAGCGAAAAAGAAAAAAGAGAGAGAGAGAGAGAGCGAAATTATTGGCAACGGGATGCCAAGATGGGTTACAGAACAAGGAAGAGCGGCTGGAATTCATGCCCTGGAACCAAATGTAACCTGGTGCTTCAAGACAAGTGGTTTCTATCCCCAATTGCTTATCAGACTCACCAAGACGGCTTTTAAAGTCCCAAGGCCTAGGCAGCACCAAAAACCAACCAAATGAAAATCTCTGAGACTGGGACTCAGGCACCAGTATTTTTTCAGGCTCCCCAGTTGATTCCAATGTTTAACCAAGGCTGGAAACCACTGATGTTAAATCTCTCTTTGTCTGCCTCTCCTCTCTGCTTCCCTCTGCTTCCTTTCATTCTACAGAAAGCTCTTCCCACCACAGCCTCAGATGTCTATCCTCCCAGTATAAAAATCTCTATAGAAGAAACAAACAATTACAAAATTAGCTGGGCGTGGTGGCGCATGCCTGTAACCCCAACTACTCAGGAGGCTGAGGCAAGAGAATCACTTGAACCTGGGAGGCAGAGGATGCAGTGAGCTGAGATCATGCCACTGCACTCCAGCCTGGGCAACAAGATCAAAACTTCATCCCCCCCAAAAAAAAGAAAGAAAGAAAAAGAAAAATCAAACACACACAAAAAAAGCGTTTTCCTCCCACCATCCATGTATCAATGAATTTGGCCTATTAGATCTTGCATTCAACCTTTTGATTCTGATCACTGTTGCTGGGGCATAGGGAATGAACCCACCCCTACAGCCAGGAACTTTCATAACTCACCAGAAATATTTGGAATGGACACGGAGCAATTTCCTGTTCAACGAACATGAAAACTCCAGATACGTCATCTAAATAAAGTAAAACTAGTTAGACTTCCTCTTGGTTAATATAATTTAGTGTTAGCAAAATTAGCTTCAACCATTTTTGTAACAAATAAGATTTGGGCTTGATGGTGTCTTGTCTTCACGTCTTTTAACCACCAAAAGTGACAGAGGCTATTGCTTTGCTAGGATGCTGCATGTGTCTGTCTCTCAACTATCTTGATGCACTTGCAGGCTCTTGATTCTCTGAAACTGCTTGTTCACTAATTCCCTGTCACACCCACGAATGACTGATCTCATACGTTACCCTCTTGATTGCTCTCCATTTCACTTGGGGATAAAGTCAACTTTAGGTAGGACTCTACTTAGTATTTCAACTCAAACTGAAATCCATTTTCTCAAAGTTTTGGCCCCTCTCCTCCGCTTTACTTGGTGAGCTCCAGGTTGGAGTAGCCCTGTGGATCTGCTTTGGGTTAAATCGTTTTTTTTTTTTTTATCTAAAAGATGATTGAAATTATACATGGATTCCTCAATTGTACTTATCCACTTGTTCTGAAGCACACCTAACAGATCTTTTTTTTTTTAAGACAGAATATTATCGAGAGCTTGTCTGGAGGTTCTAGCAGGGAAGCGCAGCTACTCTCTACCCTTGGCCAATCCTCCTCTGTCGAGGATGGTCGCCCTCTTCCACTGAGCCTGCAGCTTCAGAAGGGATGCATATGGAGCGGCAAGGGAAGAAGGAGACACCCATCTAGCCATCCAGAGCAGCCGAGTCAACCCTGGCGATCAGTGAGGTGACAGATGAGGCAGCCATATCCAAAACCAGGTTTTATCAAGAACAATAAAACACATTCCCAACCCTCCAGAAAGTGGGGACATTTTTGATCAGTTGGAGGGAAGTGCATTTGAGGAGAGAGGCCACAGTAAATACCTGCACAGGGTTAACATAATTCCCGGTGCAACCAAATGGCCCCCGTGGAGCATACCTGCGCCCCCAAGGAGCTTGTTCCCTTCGCTCTGTCTCTGTGGCCTTGTCATCGCACATTTTCTGAATTCAGCTTCCTGCAGCTTTCACGGGCTCTGGTTGCACACCGAGCAGTTAATATCGACCTCTGGGTTTCCCAGCTGGCTAAAGTCACTGCGGCAGCGTGACAGAGCTGACGGGCAAGCTGGGGGAGAGGCTGCCGAGAGAGTCACGAGGGGCCTTTGCCATTCTGGCAGCTTGGAGCGGGAAGGAGTCTTGAACTTTTGGTTGGTTCTTACGCAGACAACTGACAGGCCTCTTCCTGTTTTGATCACTCTTTGCACAGTTTCAGATGAAGCAAGAAAGGGCCCCCGAAGGAGCTTTGCTTACCGCTAGAGGGAGGAACGCCCCAGGCCCGTGCCGCCTGGAGGACAAGGGCCCGCAGCACAGGAAAGATTTACCACACTTCCCCCCAGCAACCCTCCTGCCCCCAGCTGGGCAGGAAGCCACCTGCCACAGCAACGGTCACTACTGGGGTCACGCTCTTCATGTGCATTACATTTCCAGATCTGATTTCTGCGTGAAGCCGCAGCATCCTCCTTGGTGTTCTTTGAAAGCTCTGTGTTTTTCCAGCTGTTCCACAAACCTTTGCTGGCCCAGGCTGCCTGGCACATAGCTTTCCAAAATTACTGAGGCGATAGACATACTTTCCACCCGCAGTATCCACACTGACCCCTCCACCATTTGTGAATGCAAATCCTTACCCTGTTCTACAAGTTTGTCTCACTTCCGGGTATCAAAAAAGCCTTGTGCGTCACTCTCGGCCTGAGGGTAGCACTGGAAAGGGGTCACTGGGCACAGCCAGGATTAACTTCCTCTGCTCTGGAATTTCATATAAATAGAATCACACAGTATGCCCTTTTTCTCTGTGGCTGTGTTTGGCCAACATATTGTCTATGAAATTCACCCATTTGATGGTAACAGTGTTTAAGTCATTCCTAATGTGGTCCTTCTTCAACGTAGTCGGCAATAGTTCACTTATGAACACACCACTGTTGATTTCTTTATTGAACTCTTGGGTTATTTCCAGTTTTTGACTATTGTGAATCAGGCGACTGTGAGCATTCTTGTGCAAGGCATGGTCTGGATGTGTGTACTCATTTATCTTGTGTATATTCCCAGGAGTAGAATTGCTGTTCTTGTAAGTGTATGCTTAGCGTTATTGGAAACAGCCAGTTTGGGCTGCGCGTGGGGGTTCATGTCTGTAATCCCAGTAATCTGGGAGACCAAGGCGGGCAGGTCACTTGAGGTCAGGAGTTCAAGACCAGCCTGGCCAACATGGTGAAACCCCATCTTTACTAAAGATACAAAAATTAGCAAGGCATGGTGGTGCATGCCTGTAGTCTCAGCTCCTTGGAAGCTGAGGCAGGAAAATCGCTTGAACTCAGGAGGTAGAGATTGCGGTGAACAGAGATTATGCCACAGCACTCCAGCCTGGGCAATACAGCAAGACACCATCTCAAAAAAAAAAAACGAAAGAAAAGAAAAGAAAAAAGAAATAGCCAGTTTTCCAAAGTGGTGTTTTAATCTACACAACAATCTGAGGTGCACATCAGTCAGCTCACAATTGCTTATTGAGCACCTACTAAGTGCCAAGCACTGTTCTGGGTGCTTGGGTAGAGGAATGGATAAGGCAGACAAGGTCCCCGTCGGTAAAACACAATCTCATGGGGGATGATGGGCAAGTCAACCTAAATGAACACTGACAATTAAGCCAGGCGCGTTCACTCATGCCTGTAATCCCAGTACTTTGGGAGGTCAAGGCAGGTGGATCACTTGAGCTCAGGAGTTTAAGACCAGCCTGGGAAACATGGCAAAACCTTGTCTTTACCAAACATACAGAGAGCTAGCCAGTCGTGGTGGCACCTGTCTGTAGTCCCAGCTACTCGGGAAGCTGAGGTGGGAGCCTGGGCGGCGGGGGTTGCAGTGAGCCGAGATGCACCCCAGCCTGGATGACAGAGCGAGTGCCTTGTATTATTTCAGGTGCTTGTACGTGGTGCTATGGGAAATGGAGTGATAGGTTAGAGCACGGAAGGGTGCTACTCTCTTTGGTGTTCAGCGATGGTTCCTTTGAGAAGCTGACAACTGAGTTAAGACCTGAGAGACAGGGAAAATGTGGCCCTGCAGAGCTTTGGGAAGAGACTAGAGGCAGAAGGAACAGTAGGTGCAACTGCCCTGGGGAAGGAAAAAAGTGTGGTGGTGGCCTGGCGTGGTGGCTCACGCCTATAATCCCAGCACTTTGGGAGGCTGAGGCGGGTGGATCACCTGAGGTCAGGAGTTCAAGACCAGACTGTTCAACATGGTGAAACCTCATCTCTACCAAAAACCCAAAAAATTAGCCAGGCATGGTGGTGCACACCTGTAATCCCAGCTACTCTGGAAACTGAGGTGGGAGAATCGCTTGAACGCAGGAGGCAGAGGTTGCAGTGAGCCGAGATCAAGCCACTGCACTCCAGCCTGGGCAAGAAGAGCAAAACACCATCTCAAAAAAAAGTGTGATTTGGAGGAGGAAAGAAGGTACCTGAGCCAGGCACACAAGTCATTCATTCACTCCTTCAACAAATGAATATGTAAGGAGCTTCTGCTATGTGTCAGGCACCCTTCTAGGCGATGAGGATCTCTCAATGAACAAAACAAACATCCTGCCACCACAGAACGAGGAGAGAACAGGCAGGAGGGCCTGGAGGAGGAAGAGGAGGCCGGGCGAGGTCGGACCATGCAGACCACAGAAAGGAGTTTGGATTTTCCCCTGGAGCAGCAGGAAGCCGTGGAAGGGTTTTAAGCAGAGATGTGAAGATGATCTAATTTACAGCAAGGATGGAGGCAGGGAGACAGAGTAAGACTCTATCTCAAAAAAAGAGTTCCAATGCCAGGTCTCATGGCATTTAAATGAACTGACCACTCAAGCGTATGTGGTCTATTTTTACTTTATCACTCTACCTGTAGGCTCTCGGCTCATGTGTCTTCTAAAGACCATCTCAAAGAAAAAGCCGCAGCTCATGTGGCCAGAGTGTTTACAGTCAAGGAGACACCAGATGGGCAGTGTTTTGCTTGGGGAGCTAGAACACCTCTAGACAAGGAGACCAAGGACTCCAAATTAAAATCATGCTAGACCAGATCAAACCACCCTTTGGCTTGAGTCTTTACAATTCTAGACCCAGGGAAAAGGTCCACTCGAATCATGAGTGCCTGAAAGGTTTAGTGCATTTCTAGACTCTCATAGATTCGAGCCTTCCTGGACAGAAGAAATCACTGGGTGGCTTTTATTTCAATCACATGTATTTGCATATGTATATGTGTGTGTGTGTATCGTGTATATATGCATGTGTGTATACACATATGCAGTGTATGTATATGCACACACACATACACGCACTTGTTCCAGCCTCACACACTTAGAAAAACTGAATTAAAGAGATAGTAAAAAAAATCCGAATTTCTTAAAACTTCTTTGAAAATCATCTCCTGGCCTTCACTTCATTTTCTCCTGTGACATTTCCATCTCGACGCTCTAAATTCTTTTCATAGCCCCTGAGTAGGTGACAGCCATTTGAGAAAAGGCTCGTATTGTCTTGCTTTCCTTTGGAAAGCAAGGTGGGCAGGTGATTTGAGGAGCTGGAAGAGGGGAGGGTACATTTTTCCTGTACCTCAGATCTGGCAGTGCCGGGTTTTTAGAAGCCCCAGAAAAGGCAGCACTCGATTAGGCTGGGAGAGAGGAGACCTAGAAGCAAACGTGGGTTTGAAGTGTTATTCTCGTCTCCTCTAGGCCAGTCTCTCCTCATTGTTCTCGTTGCCTGCAACAGCTATGTTCTGAGAGTAACTCTCTCCTTGCTGAAACAGAGCTTTCGTCTGCCTGATGCATTCCTGTAAAGAAATGAGGAAATGGAGAGAGAGGGCCAGGTTCCCACGCGGCCACCTCCCTGCCAGAGCAGGCGGACGCCGTGGGCATGGGTGGGTGGCGGTGCCCCTGTCTTCAGCGTTGTGCTGGTGACTACCATCAGCCTCTTAGAAGATGCTAATAAGATGCTTGTAGAAAGCTACAAAACCATTGTGGCAGATGGCAGAAGGTTAGCTTCTGATTTTTCTTATTCCACTATTATTTTTCTTGAGAAATGTGCTCATCAGTGGCCTGCTTTTTTTGCTTTATTTTGACAAAAAGCCACAAATTAATTATTAATCCTTTTTTTCTGACCTTCCTCTAAGCATAAATTCAAGGAGCATTATCTTTTAGAAACAAAGTAAGTAATGATTCAGCCTCTTCCCTCTGCCCCTCCCACGCAATTTTTTTTGAACACTGAAAAAATCCTTTAAATTTCTCTGAAACTACAGAGATAATATTTACCATTGCTATGAGTGCCCTGGTGATGTGTGACTTCATTTTCTTATTGGCTGGGGGTCAGGGTTGGGTTATTGCATTCTGGTTATTTTTTACTCCTTCTGAAAACAGACATAAAAGCAAAAAATATTATAGGCTCCAATAAAAAGGGCAGCTGCCATTCATTAAATACCTTCACTGTGCGAGTACCATGCTACACAATGTACTGACGTTAAATTATTAAATCCTCACTTTTTTGTTTGTTTGTTTTTTGAGGCAGAGTTTTGCTCTCGTTACCCAGGCTGGAGTGCAATGGTGCGATCTTGCCTCAACGCAACCTCCGCCTGCCGGGTTCAAGTGATTCTCCTGCCTCAGCCTTCCAAGCAGCTGGGCTTACAGGCATGCCACCATATCCAGATAATTTTGTAGTTTTAGTAGAGACGGGGTTTCTCCATGTTAGTCAGGCTGGTCTTAAACTCCTGACCTCAGGTGATCCACCCACCTCGGCCTCCCAAAGTGCTGGGATTACAGGCGTGAGCCACTGTGCCTGGCCATAAATCCTCACATTAATGCCGTGAGTAGGTACTATTATTACCCTATTTTAGAGATGAGGAAACTGAGACTTGTAGAAAGGAACTTGCTGTCCAAGATCAGATAGCCAGGACCTGGCAGAACCAGAACTCAAAGCCAGGGACCTCCACTCCAAAGCCGGTGCTTTGAGATGGTACATTCTTCTGTTTTCCCTGTTGAATTCTAGTTCTATTAGTGGTAGTCTCTGAGCTTTAGGGGCGTTTATTCCTAGTTTCAAACTCTTTGGGAGCCAGATGTTAAAATGCTCATTTGTGGAAAGACAGTTGGACATGAGTTATGGAGGCACTGGCCTGACTTCAAAGATGCAAGTAGGCCCGCCATTTTGCAAATGAAGAAATGAGAGTACTGCGGTTCTGTTAACTATTGCCGTGTAGCAGACTGTCCTCAGATTTGGTGGCTTAAACCCCAAAACCATTTTTACTGCTCCCAATCCTGTGAGGCAGGACTTTGGGCAGAGCCCAGCAGTGCCGTCTGGGGGATGTTCCATGTGACATGGTCAGGCCTGAGTATGACTAGGGCTTTGCTCTGTGACTAGGGCCTCTCTCATGCTTGGGGCCCTGAAGTTTGCTGCAGGCTCTCTGCCCAGCAGGACAAGCTGGACTTTATATGGTGGCTCAGGGTGGCAAGAGAG